CGTTACTCTTTCCTCCTAGTTGTAGGACTTCCACTCAGCCAGCGTTCCTGTGGGTCTGGGTGATGTCCCTTCCGTCTTTCAGTTTCACTTTTGAAATGGTTGTTCGAGGCGGCAAACTCCGGCGTTAACCTATGCCGCCATCTTGGTTCTCTAATGCTTATTTCTTGATAATTTATGAACTACTGAATTATAATTATTATATAGTTTATATTTGTTTGAAAAGTGCCCTGCCTTTCCTGAGAAGAGGATTTAATTTTAAAATTGAGAAGTATATATAAGAAAAAAGTGGCGATTTAAATAACTTTCATTGATGAAAATTTTGATCTACCAATTCAAGGACAAATCAGTTTTAAATGTAATCATTTTATTCCACATATTTTGAGATTAAAACTTGACAAAATGTTCAGAGGTCACCATAACTGAACCGTCTGAAGATGATTACGAATATGAAGAGGTAATTATTTATTTTAATCTTTAATGTTGAGTTTATTACAGATGTCCCTCTTTTTTGCTCCCTATTGCCCCCCTCCACCAGGTTCTTGCCCCACCCCAGGCCTTCGCCACCCTATTGTCTATGTCCATAGGTAATGCGTATATGCATATAAGATCTTTGTTTAATCTCTTCTCAGCCACCACCCCCCCTTTCTTCTGAGAATCATCAGTATGTTCCATTTCCATGCCTCTGATTCTATTTTATTCAATAAAATTATTCTATTTTATTCTAGTTTATTCTGTTCATTAGATTTCTTATTTATTTTGATTTTTAGATTCAATTATTGATAGGCATGTATTTGTTGCCATTTTGTCGTTTATATTTTTGATCTTTTTTTTTCTTCTTCTTAAAGAATACCCTTCAACATTTCATATAATGTTTGGTGGTGATGAACAACTTTAGCTTTTTCTTGTCTGTGAAGCTCTTTATCTGACCCTCAATTTTGATTTGATTCTCAGAATCCTCTACTCTACTGTTGAATCCCTAAATATTATGCTTTTTATAGTCAGATGTCCCCTCTGGTCCTTTTCCATTTTTTTTTTAGAGATTTCTAGAAGATTCTTGAGTAACTCTATAACCATGGTTTTGAACTCTATATCCAGTAATTTGCTTTCTTCCATTTCTTTCATTTGTCTCTGCATTTTGGCTGCTTTTCTGTGTTTGTTTCTAGTTATTGGCCAGAGCTGATATTTCTCCTTGAGTTGTTAGAATGGTCTTGTGTAGGAGATGTTCTATAGTACCCAGTGGCTCAGCCTCCCCAGTCACCTGAGTTGGGAGCTCTAGGTGCACCCCTTTGTGGGCTGTGATCACAATCTTGTTGTAGTTGAGCCTTGATTTCTGTGGGTGTCACTGGGAGGAATTGACTTCTAGGCCAATTGGCTGGGAGGCCCAGCTGCAACTACAGTGGGAGAGCTGCTGTGCAGGAGACACCCTTATGGATCAGGACTTGCTTCAGTGGGGCATTGGTGCTCACTGAGTCTTCCCTTTGAGTGTGTCTCTTATGGATATGTAGAGTTGTAATCTTGTATGGTCCAACACTGACCACTGAGTACACTGGCTCTCAGGTCTCCAGGGAGGTGCAAAGTCAGCCACTGCTTGGGGCCACCCAGCAGTAGCTTCAGTGAGATCTGCAGATTCCTCCTCTTTGTATTGAGTTTGAAAGTGCCCAGACAAGGCCCAGCTGAGAAGCAAGACAGGCTGGTGCTGGTGCTTGGTCTTGGGCCCTTTATTGATAGGTTTGGGGCAACCAACGCAGCTGCAGCTTGTTTGATCAAGGACAGGCCATTCATATGCAAAAGCTGCTACACAGCTTATGTGTGGGGTTGTAAATTGGATGAAGGCAGGGTCTTAGGGAATCACCAGGCAGAACAAACAGAAATGGCTGCCAGTCAGCCTTGCTACTGGGAAGGTCCCAGTATAGGAACAGTCATCTCTGTCTGGGAGAAAGCTGCCCCCAAGTTCCTGCCCAGATGCCTGACAATCCAATTTCTCCTGTGTGTGTCTGTGTCCCCCACAGCCTCACCCTGGTGCTGGACCTCAGAGGAAGCAGGACCTTCTAAGTTCAGTTTATGGTGCCAGCCTTTTAAGAGGAACAGCTGGGTCTCTAGCAGCCTCTATGTCACTGCGCCCCAATCTGAACTCGTTTTTACAACCTGCAGTTCTTACTGCCCCTAGGGACTTCTTTTCCAGGCTCTGGGACCTCTTGCTCCTCAGAGTGGCCTCCGCAGAGATGATCTCCCTCCCAATTAAAAAAGTGGCACCAGCCCATTCTGCGCCTCCACACCTTCTACCAGTCTCAGTGTGCTTTCTTATTTACTTCTCTAGTTGTAGGGATTCCATTAAGCCAGCTTTCCAGCAGTTCAGGATGATAGTTGTTCTGTATTTTAGTTGTAATTTTGATGTGGTTGTGGGATGCAATGAGTACATGCATTTACCTACACTGCCATCTTCAAATTCAGTCATTTTTTTTAAATTTTATTTTGAGTACTCTGTCAATTTATTATGGTTGTTCTTGAGGCATATTTATTTATTTATTTATTCCTTAAGAGTTTCTAGTTTAAAAATATACATATGTTTTTATTGATTTTAGAGAGGAAGGGAGAGGGAGAGAAATAGAATCATCAATGATGAGAGAGAATCATTGATCAGCTGCCTCCTACATGCTCCCTACTGGGGATAGAACCGACAACCTGGGCATGTGCCCTGACTGAGAATGGAACCCTAACCTCCTGGTTCATAGGTCGACACTCTATCACTGAGCCATGCTGGCTCGGCAAGAGTTGTTCGTTTTTTAGCCATATCAGCTGGTTAAGACTAAGGCATGAAAATTCTCATTAAAAAATTTAGATTGGTTAAAACTTCTGGCCATTTGTATTTTCTTATTAATTGTCCTTCAGAGTCAACTCCTTATCACCTACCTTCTGGATCCATACTACAGAATGTCTTCTCTGTCTAATAGGCATTTACTATAATCCCATCTGCTCTTGGCTGAGTTTCCCAAATTTCTACCACCTAGCTGGAGTGCAGACCCTATGCTTCCTTCCAACTTAACTCTACTTCTATCTAATGTGCTTACTGTCTAAAACCTTTCCTTTAATTCACTGCTCCAGTGGGACCTATCATTATTTCTGAGACTCTCCTAGGATGCAGAAGCTCTGAATGAAACTGTGGGTACAGGCCTAGGAATTTCTGGCCTGGGCAAGCAGGAGACAGGACGAACAAAGAACACAGGCTTGTTATTACTGCTGGTATAATGAAGATTATATTGATACATACCACATGAAAGTTCTGAATGAGTTAAATAATAGTAAAGGCCTTAAAATTGTGATGAGCACATAAGAAGCATGCAATACATGTTAACTATCATTAATATCATTGTTAGATTTGATTATATTCTTCCAATAGCTTAACATTCAGGCAGTATTATTTTATTTTTTTAAATAAAATAGAGGTGTGTGGTTGCTAGTAGTAAAGAAAGAGTAATATACATCTACACAATGGAATACTACGCTGCGGTAAAAAGAAGGAATCTTTCCATTTGCAACAGCATGGATGGAACTGGAGAGCATTATTCTAAGTAAAATAAGCCAGTCAGAGAAAGATAAATACCACATGATCTCACTCATTTGTGGAATATAGTGAACAAAATAGGCTGATGAACAGGGACAGATTCAGAGACAGAGAAGCAGCGATCAGAGTGTCAAACCTCAGAGGGAAAGTATGGGAGGGTGTGAGTAATGGGGAGAGATCAACCAAAGGACTTGTATGCATGCATACAAGCCCAACCGATGGACACAGACAACAGGGGATGGGAGCATGGGTGGGGAGGTGGTTATGGGAGGATGATGTCACATATGTAATACCTTAATCAATAAAGATATTAAAGATTGAAAAAAAAAAGAAAGAGTAATGAGGGATAAAAATCTGGGATGAAGAGAGAATGGTGGCAGTTAGATGGCCTAACATTTCTTCCAGCACAATTGTTAGTCTGTATTTGTCATTATAGATAAATGCAGTTGCTCATAAGCTAATATTGAGTTTATTAGAAGTGACATTGAGTGATGTTTAAAAGAAAATCAGAAAGCTTCCTGCTTGATATATATTCATTTGTCTTGATCTTCAAAATGACATGATGTCTTAGATAAAATATATTTCTTTGATCCATTGTTTTATGAGGGAAAAATCAGTTCTGAAATGAAATAATGTATTTTCTTGCTAACCCTTCTTACCCTCCTCTTTCTCCGTGATTTAGATACCAGATGACAATTTTAGCATTCCAGAGGGTGAAGAGGATCTGGCAAAAGCAATTCAGATGGTTCAAGAACAGGATACAGATACTCAAATTTTGGTGAGGTTGAACATAACCATAGCCTATAGTTTACCAGTGATAAATTTCTGTGTGAAGTTTTGAAAGGTGTTTACATTTCAAGTACTTCACTTACTAAATGCAGCCCTAGCACCTGTTATGTCTTTTTTCACCTCTATTTCTCTGCCATCAAACCTTCACTTTAGATAAGTAGTCATGTTTACTCTTCTTTGGTTTATCATTTTCCACAGCGTGGTCACTCTTGCATGACTGAAATAAATGACACTATCCCTCAGAACTCTGCCTATTTAATTGGAGATTAATCCAAGGATTTGAAACACTTATGTACAGAATTTGATACTGTATGGAAATTCTACAATCTGCTTTATGAGCATTCTATGTCTGCCTCTCCCCACCCCCCATTGAAATATGTAGCTCATAGGGAATGCCCAATATATTATGATATTTTTTCCTTGTGAGGCCTATGAACTAATATCATTAAAGAATATGGTGGAGGATGCTTTATGATTGTAATACCACCAGTGAAAAGTAAATACAATGATGGCATTCCTATAAAATTAAAAAAATCATTTAAAAGTTCATAACAATTTAATGATGATAACAAAATATTTTAAAGTGCTTAATATTTCATACCAACACTAATTAAGAAGGATGAATTTTAAAAATGTTGTAACTTTTTTTGATAAAGAAATGTGAAGGAAATTGTGATATTCCTATTTAGTTATAGACTTGACTTCCTCAGTGCAAAATAGTGTGTGATAGACTTCACTCCATATTCTCGCCTGTGTCAGTCTTTACATATTTTGTATAGACTTTTTCTGTCTGAAATCCAGTAACTCCTTTCCAAATTATCTGTCTGTTAAAGAAACAAAACAATTCAAAACAAAAAAACCTCAAGAAGAGGAGTTCTTGAATCTGGAATTGATTATATTCTGTTATAAATGAAGGACTCTAGCTCATAGTAAACTGCATTTTCTAATGCATCCTATAGATATAGTTCCCTTCTATTTAGACACAAAGCGAAGTCTCAATGCAATAATTTACAGGAATAGTTTTAAAATACAGCATTTTGAATGATGAGCAGTTTATCCACTGCTCATCATCTTCCCTCTTGCTTTACCTCATTAAGTAAAGAAGGATTTAAAAAATACACTAAGTATTACTCATTCATTTTTTTACTTGGCAAGTAAGGTAGATATGCCTAACATAGTGCTTGGTGCATAGGAACTAAATGAATAGCAGTTGAGTAAGTGAATGGATAGAGTCATAGAATGAAAATATTATGACTCAAATTATAATTGCTTCTTTGTATCTGGTATCATGCTGTAATCTGTTTGTAAATCCAAAGATAAATCCAAGGAAGACAATGGGATAGCTGTCATATCTACTGCACCAAATATCAGTAATTCTTCTCATCAGTTTTTCAGAATTTTTTTTTTTTTAATCACAACCTTGCAAGAATTAACTTTCTAGATTTCTGGCATATTTATAGCTGGTTGACTCTCATTAAAGTTCTATTACTTTTTTTTTTTAGTTCTTTGGGGGAATGATGCTATGCAGAAAATTTACAAACATTGCCCTTTAGCTTTGAAAATTAAATATGGGTTCTTTTTATGATAAGCATATCAATTATGTATTCTATTTTTTAAAATATATTTTTTATTGATTTCAGAGAGTAAGGTAGAGGGAGAGAGATAGAAATATCAATGATGAGAGAGATTCATTAATTGGCTGCCTCATCACGCCCCCTACTGGGGATCAACCTGCAACCCAGGCATATGCCTCTGACCGGAACTGAACCTGGGACCCTTCCTTCTGCAGGCCGATGCTCTATCTACTGAGCCAAACCAGCAAGGGCTAATTTGTTTTTTATTTCTATAGTATTTTTTCTTCAAAAACTAGATTTGAATTGTGCCATGGGATTTCTGTTTCAAAGAATATTTATTGCTTATTAACCCAACTTCCTTTTGTTATGATTTTATTATATCTGTTTAGAAATAACATATATATATATATGTATATATATATATATTCTTCTATATTAGAGGATGCAATAGTCTCTATTCAATGAGGACTTTTAAAATGTTCATTAATGATTGCAAGTGAAAGATCATGGTTTTGGGAAAGTTAAATATAGTTAAATAGTTGAAAATAGTTTAAAAATAATTCAAATAGTTGAAATAATTGCAAGTTTAGGTGCTTGCAAATTTGTTCTCTAAAAGGTCATACAGTCAATATTTTAGGTTTTGAGGGCCATATCATCTATCCCAACAAAAAAGGTTGAAAAAAATGAACAAATTAGTAAATGAATCAATGCCATTAATAAAAGATTTGATGTTTTCAAAATAATTAATTACACCTTTAAATTTTAGGAGCAGAAAACAGTTCTTCCTTCAAAGCACGTAGTACCTGAAGTAATAGAAGACTTTCTCTGCAATTTCCTGATCAAAATGGGAATGACCAGAACTCTTGATTGTTTTCAATCTGAATGGTAAACAATAATGTAGATAAGGAGTTCTTAGAAATGCTAACATTTAACATGTGCACTTTAACCTTCTTATATGACTGAAGACTCTCAGTGTGTGCAAAATGGATGAAATGGATAGAAACCTTTCCTATCCCCACTGCTGACACCACAACGTACAAACACACATACACACATACCCAAGCACCCTCACTCAAACACATATATGCACATAATCAGAATATCATCTTTCTGAAATAAAAATATTAGGTGATTTTTAAACATCTAGAAAATGGAATACTTATTTCCTGGAGTTATATAATATAATACAAAGCTATTTTATGGAATACTTCCCTAATATTTTCTGCATAATTGTAAGGGTTTTATTTCCTGCATTAAGAATTCCTACTAACAGTACTACTTTGCTTATTTTACTTACTAGAGTCCTGGTGCATGAATATTCATGCACTCGGGGGAGTCCCTCAACCTGGCCTACATCTTCTCACAGTCCGGGATCCCTCGGGGGATGTCCACCTGCCAGCTTAGGCCTGCTTCCTGGGGGGATCGAGCCTAAGCTGGCAGTCAGACATTGTTCTGGCAGCCTGGGAGCCCTCGGGGGATGTCCAACTGATGGCTTAGGCCTGCTCTCCACAGTTGGACATCCTTAGCACTGCCGTGGAGGCAGGAGAGGCTCCTGCCACTGCCACTGTGCTCACAGCCGTCAGCCTGGCTTGTGGCTGAGCAGATCTCCCCATGTGGGAGTGCACTGACCACAAGCGGGCAGCTCCTATGTTGAGTGTCTGCCCCCTGTTGGTCAGTTAGTGTCATAGTGACTGGTAGATCCCAGTCGTTCTGCTGTTAGGGTCAATTTGCATATTACCCTTTTATTATATAGGCTAGTGTAATGGCCTGCCTTTCTCTACTCACACAAATGATCAATTCTTTTTTTTAATATATTTTATTGAATTTTTACAGAGAGGAAGGGAGAGGGATAGAGAGTTAGAAACATCAATGCGAGAGAAATATCGATCAGCTGCCTCCTGCACACCCCCCACTGGGGATGTGCCTGCAACCAAGGTACATGCCCTTGACTGGCATTGAACCTGGGACCTTTCAGTCTGCAGGCTGATGCTCTATCCACTGAGCCAAACCGGTTAGGGCAATTGATTAATTTTCTGTAAGTTTTCCTTCATTTACAAAGTAAGTGGGAACATTTTCAAATGATGCCTAAAGACAAGATTCTTTTTGTAATAATTGA